GGCCAGGGACGGCTCTGGAAGGAGCGTGAGTGGGAGCAGGACACAAGTGGGGCTGCGGCACGGGACAGGACGGGACAGGAGGGCTCGGCTGTGCCCGTCACCAGGTACCGCGTGGGGTGGGCAGGAGCTGCCCTGGCGAGGGCATGTGGATCCGGCAGCGGAGCCGTCTTCCCGTCCCCTCCGGAGCCAGCCCGGCCGCGCACCCTCGCTCGGAGCACCGGGAGGGACCCAGGGGCCGTCACCACCCGGCCCCCGCCCGCAAGCGGGGAGCGGAGCTGGCCCCGCTGCTCCTGCGAAACCAGGCGTCCGCCTCGGCACACGCCGTCCCTCCTGCCAGGGCAGGGTCCGGGTGGCTCCTGGCACTGGGTTTGGGGCCCGTGCGCCAGGGAGGTTGTAAGGAGAGGGGTGCGGCATTTCCCAGAGCTGGCTGGTATGATGGTAATTGCGCCGCTCCCTCCGGGCCATGGGGCAGCAGGCAGGGACTAATCACTGCCCCGCTGCTGGCGCTGCTGCCCGCGGGCTGCTGGGCCCTCCCCGCAGCCGGGCAGGGCAGCGCTGCTGGGGAAACTGAGTCACAGAGGCAGGCAGGGGTCTGGCAGAGCTGCGGTGCCTCCAGCCCGCTGCTTCTCCCTGTGGAGATGCTGTGATGGAGGGTTTGTGCACCCCACGTGAGTCCTGAGAGCCGGTGGGGGGCACCGGGGGGGCTGCTGAGCAGCCAGACGAGGGGAGCCCCGTGCACTGGCAGCTGCGGGGGATCGCAGCCGGCAGCGTGCCACCATGGGGTGGGAGAAGCGCTCAGTGCGACTGGGTGGGCTTTGCTCTCCTGGTCCCGGCAGGGACTGAGCCCTGTCCCCATGTGTCCCCCCGGGGGAGGGACTGGCTGGTGACACCACCGTGGGAGCTGCTGTGCTGCAGGGACGGGCAGCGTGGGGACCGTCGCCCCTAACCTGCCCCCTCTCCCCCAGCTGCGTGTCGGACTCGTCCTTCATGCCGGGGAAGCTGAGGAGGAGCGGAAGGGGGGTGCTGGAGAAGCGGTGGCAGAGCCTGGAGGAGAGGGGCAGCGCGGGCGCCCGGCTGGGGTACCCCGTGCTTGCCAGGTGGGTGCTGCACCTCGCCGGGGACACGTCCCCACACCCCAGCCCTCACCTCACACCGGTCCAGCACAGCCGTGCCCCCCCCCCCCCCCCGCGCCCCCCGCCCCGCG